ACCGAGGACCTATCCACATCATCATTTACCCAGAATGCTTTGCGTGTAAATAAAACAGCCCCGTCCGTGTAATATATTTTTAGACTTTTAGTTTAAAATTTATAAAAATTAAACGGCCTACAGTATTTTTACAGTTAAAATATGTTTATCAAATAAAGTCTAATGTTACAACTAATCATGGATCCCTTTAAAAAGTATTTTAGACACAAGCACTGATTATAGGAAAACTTGCTAAAAACTAATAAAAATTGTCCTTTGCTCAGTACTGTTCTGCTGTTCTCAAACACTCAACTTCACACTGGAGTATTTGTGGGTGTTTGGTGTCCCTGGGTTCATTCAGAGATTGTGTTTGTGTTTGTGTGTGTGTGTTTGTAAGGGCTCCTGCACCTTCAGTCACAGTGTGTTCTTTCAGCTTCAGCAGGGACAGTGACTCRGACAGGCTTTCTGTTGCTAGAATACTATGACACAGACACATTTAGCTTTATTCACTCTGGTTCCCAAACATGTTTAACTCGACAACCCCAGAGGTTACACACTCAGACACACCTCAGATTCACACAACGGCTGAGCAAACGGAGCACCTGAACCTGAAGAAGTAAAGCCACAGTGATTGTTTCTTCTGCCGTGGCCCTTTTATTTTTTGTTTTGGTAAATTCTTCTGTAGTTTCTGCTTGTAATGAGATCAAACGAGACAGATGGGTGTGAGGTGTGTGTGTGTGTGTGTGTGTGTGTGTGTGTGTGTAAGAGAGGCAAACAGGAACACAAAGAAGAAGAGGGTGGAGGTTGAGAGCAGAAAGGATGAGACTGGAGAGAGCATGCTCCATATTTTATTCAGTTACATTGTGTGTGTTTCTGTGGTTTTGCTTAGCTGAGCTCTTTGTGACTTGACTCGCTGTCTCACAAACACACACACAGACACACACACACCGAGCATAAAGACCACACTTCTGCTGGACACCATTATATGCTCGCATGCATTAAAGGCAACCTGTTGTCCATGCTTACATGCCTTGCTGAATTTATATTGGCCTGTGTTCTATTGATTATCTGGAGGTCCTCGTTTGCGCCGTGACATTTTCCTCYGTCTCTTGGAGGCAGTTTAGTACCGTTTCAGTTTGAGTGGACAGAGTAATTATTTTACCAGGGCCGCTTCTTCCTGCGAGAATGGAATTGATGAATCCCACTTCCTCCGTCAGCACACTTCCATATACGGCGAACCCGTGCGAGTACCACAGCCACTGGTTGGTTCGGCTCGTTACCACGACAACCCTCTCTCACTCCCCAGCCCTGCTCTCTCTCTCTCTCTCTCTCTCTCTCTCCACCTTCTTTTTCCCATCCCTCCCATTCTTCCAGCATCAGCACATACACTCCTGAGTACAACTGTGGGGGGAGGGATGAGAGCAGAAATAAAAACAAAATAAGTGACTGAAATGGGGCAAAAAGGAAGGATAAATTGGAGAGAAAATGTCAGCAGTTGGAGTGTGCGAGGATCAGGGTGAATACGGTTGTTTTGGCGTAGAGATTGAAGATCAGTCTCTGCCTCCACTCATCATAAAATCCATCTCTCTCAAGGCCGTGACAAAATAGACACGGCTTCAGCGCTCAACAAATACTATCTCATCGCTCTATTTTTATTACACTCAAAGACAATCTATTAAGGATGAACTCAGTGGATTTCTAAAGATAACCTGTGGAATTTGTCTTTTAAAGATGATAGCAGTTCTGTCTTCTGCCCTCTGGGCTGCAAGACTTTAATTTCCACATGCACAGAGAAAAAAACATCTATTTATGCACTCAATAACGTCGTAGAATGACAGCTGTTCTGACCAACAAGTGCCACTTCATGCTGGATGACCTTGAATACTTTATTTCTTTATGTTTTTACATTGTTTTTTTAATGACCACAAAGACGTGAGTTGTCATATAAAAATCTTACTAAGGACACATTGAGTCAAAGATCATAACTGCAGCGTTTTTGCATCRTTACAGCAGCAACTACACGTTAGTATAAAGATACTTCCAGCATTCACTTACGTATACTTTCACTGATTAATTAGATAAGTAGGGAAAATCAACTAGCCAGATGGACATAACCATACCTCCAAATAGGACTGGGCAATAAAACAATAACAACACCACAAAGGACACGTGATCAATATTAATAGAGAATTTGTCCAATAAAATGTTGATAATTTCATTGAACTCTGATCCAGAACCGTACGGCATTCTGGGGGATGTTGGCAGAGAAAAGGCTTTATGGATTAAATAGGAAAGGTCAGGTTATTCTAAATATGTAAAAACAAAAAAACTAATCAATAATTATGGATATCGACTGATAYGATCACGATGCAGTTTTCAGCTTTTCCTCCAAAGCATTTTAATAATTTAATTTGCACGTAAAGCCAACAGATGTGAAACTTACAACGTTGGGGTTTTACAGGAAGAAACGTAATGATTTGTCCCTCAGATGTAAATTTCTGTTGGTTTTCTAACCTTTTAAACATTTTCATTTGCCCAGCCTTAGAGACATAATAAACACAGTTCGACCTGTCACAATAACACATTTTGCTGGATGATAATTATCTCAGAAAAGATTACGATAAATGATGATATTATTTGGAGACAATTTTGAACTAATATAAAATGTATGTTAAAAAACAAAACAAAAAACAAACAAGTTACGAACTGACCTGGACCGGAGATTGGGAAAACAACACACAACATAACTTCAGTCACCCTCACACCACTTACAAAATTTAGGGAAGTTTATGAAATTTACATAAAGTTATGGACAGACTGGGAGTGCAGTTTATGAAAACAGCTACTGAAGCCATGACATCGCTGCCCACCTCTATCCAAGCTGGCATAATTTATTCTGTGAACATCAACATATGAAATCCATTAAACAGCCTGTTCGGATGCACATTTGTTGCGCAAACAGTTGTAAACTAATTGTTGATTATGATCAAGGGGATCCAGTCATCTCCATGGTGATCAGCATCATTTTCTTTGCTTAACGCTGTTTCATATTTACAAGTGTGGAGATCACAGATCTGAAACTTCACAGCAGAGATGAACATTCAGGTCACTGTCGCTGGTAAACAGATTGTTTGTCTGCATTGTTYAAAAGAGGGTAACTGAAGGAGCAGTAAAGTCTAAAGACAAAGCTAGTGAAATTTAGAACTAAAAACATGCATATTGTTTTTTAAAATCCGCCTTCATGGCATAAAACTGAAGATGTTTTGGGTCTTTGACCCTAAATAAATGTCTAAATGTTAAATCTGCTTCAAAGGGGAACAAAGTTGGAGGATAAGTAAAGAGTGAAAGATGGAGCAGATTAAATGCAACACGAGTCCAGCCTCAGATGTCACTCTTTAATGCCCTCCATCACACAGCACAGGYGAGGTCTTTTGAAAGGACCACTGAAAGCACATTATCATTAATAAAAATCACAAAGAGTCTGATCTGTCACCATGAATATGTTGCAAATCCGTTTTTGGTGATTTCACGTCAAGCTGTCAGCTCTGCCACATGTTCAAATTTGGTGGTAAATTGTGTACTCAAACGTTTTTTTAATCRGAGGCTAATTCCCTGCGCTGTATGCAGACACACACAACCGCGTCACACAACAGTGAGCTGTCAGCGAGCAACAAAGAGGACATCATCAGGTCTGCTGATGGTTTTATAATAATGACATCTGAGCTACAGTGTTATTTTGCCGTTAACACGGTTCAGAGCCTTTTGAATCACATTTTTGTAGCGTTATCTCTTGATAAGCTTAACTATCTAATAGTAATATGTGATAAATAAAGGCACATATTCAATGATTAGTGACTTCACAGAGCAAAGWCAACATCAGCGTTGTGTTTAATTAGGTAAATATAAAGTGACATAATGCTGCTCAGAATGATGTCCTCTGACTGACACAGCACATTGTAAGCAGTCCAAAAACAACCAGAACAAACACTAAACCAAAGAGAAACTATCCATCTTCATAAATAAATTCTAGACAAAACAAACATGTTGAGAATGATTTTGATTAACAAACCATTAACACGTTTAGGCAAACAAAATTAAAACTGCATCATCAGAATATTCCCAAGAATCCCTGTTTAATTATCTTTAATCAGCCAGCAGCTGAGCTGACTTGTTTTTTCTTCTTCTAATCCTGGGACACTTGCTCTGCTGCCTGCTTGGGGACATCAGTTCTGTAGGAGGTCTTGGCTCAGGAAAGATTGTGTTCAGACTACCAAACATATGTGGATAAAAGAGGGCCAAGACCACCTCCAAAGGTGGTCTGAGGGAAAACGTATTCAATACAAAACTGAGTGAGTTCAGACCCACACTGTCACAATTAGACTGCTAAAAGACAGTTTTAAACAGGTCAATGCAACTTCTGAGTTACACACATACTAAATGACACATAAAATGTGGTGACATAGAGCTACTGATGGGAACATTGTTGTAAATAAATGAAAAAAATACCATAATCAGTAGTTCAGATGCRATGTGGTGGATCCTGTGCTTTTTCTCCTGCATGTTCTGAACTCGTGTGACTCTGCAGTCTTGTGCRTCACTGTCTGTGCCACAATGGATCGCCAATAACACCCATTATTGCTGGGAAACAGATGAGTGTGTGTGGAGGTTTCTAAATGTTGTGTTAAATGCTCATTCGCTAATGCAAGAGTTTTTTTTGCTTGCAGTCAAATACTGATCTGCAAAGTTAAATAKCCACATATCAGTGCATTGCCTGAATGTTTTGATCATTTCAGTTCAAATAATCACGATGCAGAAGAAAAAATAACATCTAATTGCTACATTTTCTGTCTCTTCCATCCATTTCTCTTCTCAAACGGTTTTCCTCCTTTTTTTTGTTCTGCTTTCTCCAGCCGATATCATCTCCACTGTCGAGTTCAACCACACCGGAGAGCTCCTGGCCACAGGGGACAAAGGGGGCCGTGTGGTCATTTTTCAGAGGGAACCTGAGGTAGGCACACACAGACACACACACACACACACACACACACACACACACA